TACTCAGGAAGCTGAGGCAAGAAATCCGTTGAGCCCAACAGTTGAAGTTGCAATGAGCTATGACACCAGGCACTTGGCACTCTACCAAAGTACAGGTAACAAAGTGAGACTCTGTCTCAACAGAAACAACAACAAAAAGTAGCTGATAGACTTCACTCAAATATCCTCCTCCAAAAGCTGAAATATTTACTAGTATTAAAGGATACATTTTCAGGATAAGTAAAAGCCCTTCCCATGCAAACAAAGAAAACTACAGAAGTAATAAACATCCCTCTGAAAAACATTATCCCCTATTATGAGCTCCCCAGAAGCCCTCAGAGTAAGAATGGTCTGTCTTCTATGGCAAAAGTTACACTCAAAGAAAGCAAACTTTTCAAAATTCACTAGAAATTGCATATAGCCTGGAGACTTCAATCATCTAGAAAAGATAAAAAGAAAATAAATCATACAGTAAAAAAGAAAAATATTGCCAAACTATGCCAAGAGAACTATTTACATTAAAATCAGGTATTGTCCCTCCAATTACTATGAATAAACGTAGCCCCTAAAAGCAGTCTCAAATTAAATCTTTACAAAGTTATTGATAAGAAGCCCTTCCAGGCAGTCTCAATTCAAATGTCTGGGCAAACCTCATATAAGCGGTTTTTTCTGTTTGTTTTGTTTGTTTTGAGACAGAGCCTCAAGCTACCTTAGGTAGAGTGCTGTAGCGTCACAGCTCACAGCAACCTCCAACTCCTGGGCTCAAGCGAGTCTCCTGCCTCCGCCTCCCAAGTAGCTGGGACCACAGGTACCTGCCACAACGCCTGGCTATTTTTGGTTGCAGCCATCATTGTTGTTTGGCAGGCCCAGGCTGGATTTGAACCCGCCGGCTCAGGTGTATGTGGCTGGCGCCTTAGCCACTTGAGCTACAGGCACCGAGCCATGTAATCTTAAAGTAAAAAAGTATGTACAAGAAATGCAGCAAGTGGTATCCCTTATTCACAAGTTCTCTCTTCCCAGACCCCAGTCAACCCCTACAGAAAATTTACATCCCTTTTGTCCTGGTAACCACGTCCAGTTCAAAGCCTGGAAAGATGGGCCTGACAAAAATAGCTCAAAGAAAAATAGACTAGTCCAGAAGATGTTCTGCTGAGGACACCACAGCAGTGAAACTCGCAGGACCAGAAGCCTGGGCCCACCACACTCCACACAAGCCGTATCTCACTCCGGAAGCAGCCAAGGCCCACAAAACCAGACGGCCTCTCCTGGAGGAAACACCACATTAAGACTGAAATACAACTTGTCATACACGGCTGTGTGCTCATCCCACAACCTTGTCCCACTTTGATGAAAGAAAAATGTATAATTACCCCAAAAGGTCATCAATATGTCTGATTTCTGTCTTCCTAGAAGTCCTTATGTAGAACAGCTATTTACTTTATGCCTAATGGAGTTGGGCACCTGCTAGAACTCATCAGATACTTCACACTTTTCCCATATATCCACAAGATTGTCATATATTCAGATATTTATAGTTAAAAGACAACAACTATTGTGGAGAAAAAAGATATATTTGCTATACAACTGAAAACCGTAACTACTAGTCATAAATATATTAAGTTTAAAAGGTGTCCATTCCAATACACTAACCTTATTAATTCCTTACTTAACTGCAATTTAACCGCCTTGGTACCTTATGCCAATAGATACACCAAGTTACCCTGAGGATAGTTCTTATTATATGAAGATAGTTCTTATATGGCATCAGGCCTTGTCATATACCCCTGCTACAACACAGGGAAACCTTGTTCACTAAGATTAACCCCTTTTCTACCCTGGATACAAAACTGTAAGTCCAACTGCTCTAAAGTAACATAAGATATTAACCTCTCTGAAAACTATCATAGCCAACTTCACCTTTTTAACCCCGCTAAATACACCACTTTAGCCATTTCTGTCATAACAACACTAGCTATTGGACTCAATCTGGAAATGAGTCCTTGACCTGTGCCATCATCAAGGCTCTTAATACAACTTCTCAAGCCATAAACACTCTGAGCATCGAATTAAAACAAATCTGAGAAGCTATACTAGAAAATCAAGCATCCATTAGCTATTTATTATTAAAACACAATCATAGGCTCAGCGCCTGTAGCACAGTGGTTATGGTGTGAGCCACAAGCACCAAGGGTGGTAGGTTTGAAGCCGGACCAGGCCAGTAAAACAACAATGACAACTGCAACAAAAATAGCTGGGTGTTGGCAGAGGGTGCCTGTAGTCCCAGATACTTGAGAGTCTGAAGCAAGAGAATTGCTTGAGCACAAGAGTTTGAGGTTGCTGTGAGCTGTGACACCAAGGCACCCTACCAAGAACAATATGGTGAGATTCTGTGTCAAAAAAGAAACAAAAATTGTAGATGTAAAATATCCAAAAATATATACTGCTTCAGTTTACCTAACAGTTCCCAATTCATCAAAAACAAGTTAAATGGACTTAGAGCCTGTAACTCAGTGGTTACAGGCACTGGCCACATGTACCTGGACTGATGGGTTCGAACCCAGCCAGGGCCTGCTAAACTACAATGAGAATAACAACAAGACAAAAACCAAAAATAGCTGGGTCTTGTGGTGGACAACTGTAGTCCTAGCTACTTGGGGGCTGAGGAAAATAACCTACGCCCAAGGGTTTGAGATTGCTGTGAGCTGTGACACCATGGCACTCTATCGTGGCAGACATAGTGAGATTCTGTTTCAAAAAAAAAAAGGTTAAATGTATAAAATACATACTCCAAATAATACAATGAACAAGATTTTTAAGAATATCTAATAGTTTCTATTATTGTCAGAATTACTTAAAACCAAACTTTAATAGTTATTTTTATGTTATATATTATAAGCTTCTTAATGTGTTGCAAAATACAACGTATTCCATTCATATGTACCTGCTGTTTCACAAGTTTCAAAAAACAAAATTAAACAGCACAGCCTCCATGTCAATTTAACTAACCGTAACAATTATTTCCATTTGAAATCAATTTCATGGATAGGAAAATAAAATGAATAAAAGTGGAGAAATGTGGTAGACATAGACACCCCCACGACCTTTCCTAGCTACTTGTGAACTTAGAATGCTCATGCCTGTAATCCTAGCACTCTGGGAGGCTGAGGCCGGTGGATGGCGTGAACTCACAGATTAGAAACCAGCCTGGGCAGCGCCTGTGGCTCAAAGGAGTAGGGCGCCACCTGTGGCTCATATACCCAAGGTGGCAGGATCAAACCTGGCCCCCAGCTAAAAATTGAAAAAAAAGAAAGAAAAAGGAAAAGATCTCCTCCTCTTGGAGGCAAGAGGATGGCTTGAGCCCAAGAGTGGGAAGTTGCTGTGAGCTACGATGAGCAAAACACTCTACCCTGGGCCACATCTTGAGACTCTGATTCAAAAAATAAAATAAATAAAATAAAAAATTTTTTAAGTTAAAAAAAATAGGAATAGTAAGTCAGTCAAACAGGCCAAACCAGAAATAGGGAATAAAGATAATAATCTTTTAAAAAAACTGAGGATGAGCTTGGTGCCTGTGGCTCAAAGGAGTATGGCGCCAGCCACATATGTCGGAGGTGGCGGGTTCAAACCCAGCCGCAGCCAAAAAACTACAAAAAAAAAAAAAAA